TCTCGGGTGTCTTTTCTTGCAGCACACAAAAACTAGCTTGTGCCTGGACTATCCCTTCACTGATGCGAGAACTCCAGAGTAGCTGGCAAGTAGCGAGGCGTCCCCCTTCATCAGAGAGCTGGGATGGGCTGCATGGGTGGAAAGCGGCAGGGGTAGGTACGAGGGAGTGAACAGGAGGTGTCTGGCTGCAACCACAAGAAGGAGGAATGGTACATGTGTGCCAGCAGAAAGGTGACCATCTGCAGAGGAAGGAAGGAGAGTGCCTAGCACTGCTGGAAGTCACAGAGACGAACCGCAGCTCAGAGGGGCTGGCTTTGGTATCATAGCAGTGCAAACAGACAGCTTGCAGGTTAGATTGAAGCCCAGGTCCCAGAGAATCCATGAAATAATTTGTAGCTCAAAGGATGTCAAAGAGTTATGAGGGATTCCGGGCAACGGGGTGCAGGTGTGCTTTTATTGGTGTGTATGGTGTACAAGACATTTCCATATGTTTTCATGTATTTCTTCCACCAATGAAATAAAAAAGAAGTTGGTTTGGGAATTTTGAGAAAACTTCTGCATCTGTTCTTCAATTTACCCCTGTCTCAGAAGAGAAGGACCATATATTCAGAGTGCCCACAAGACTGGCGCTAGAAAAAAGGCTGTGCCAGAAATGTGTTTCTTCTTGAGGGTGGAAAACAGCTGAGCCACTATTTCCATTTTCATCAAGGGGTAAGTCACAAATAGAGCTGTCAGCAGGTAAAGGCACATGGTCCTGAATGAAAACCTACCACTTCCCTTGCAAAGCAGGAGATTTCCTAGTGAAAAAGTGAGTGGAGCAGTGGCAGCTGCTTTTCCAGTTGCCATCCATAGTTCTTCTGTAGCAGAGGCCCACACCCCAAGGTTAGGCTGCTCAGGACATGTGCCACATGGACCACCCAGAGGAAAGCCAGAGTCACAGCGCATGTGGTCTGGGACATTTTAGAGCTCTTGGCCCCAGCAGAAGGAAACCCAAACACAACAACAGAGTCAGAGTCTAGCCCTGACAGTGTATCTGTGGGCTCTGGGGGCCCTAGGAAAACAGCACACAAAGAGTAATAATATTAGGAAAAAAAAAATACCCAGCTAGAAGTCTGTAAGGAACTGCTGCATTCCCCAAGGGCTGGCTTTACGTCCTTTTTCTAATTCTAGTGCTTATAATACTTAATAGAGCAGGGTAGGTTTAAAGTGGCCAGTAACAGAATGAACAAGAGTTTCTTTTTTTTTTTTTTGCAACTTTCTTTCAGAACAACCTAAAACGCAGGGCAGTTCCCATGTTGCCAATGTTACAACATACTCCTCTACCTGCATTCCTGCTAAAAATGAAATAGGAATGGTTTCTGAACGAAAAACAGAGTCTGTGATTTTTAACTTTCTGTCCCTCCCATCAAAGCAGTGATTATTGTGAAAAGGACAATCTGGAGTTGTTTTCTGAGGACTCATCATGAGATAGTTGTAGCTGGAAGGTTGGCTACCTCACTAATAAACACCTGTACATTTTACACTCTTACAGTCCTCCTTGGCTGCCACGCTCAGGGCAGAATGCAAGATAAAACAGATTTGTATCTGAAAACAAAAAATAAACACATACACACACAAACAAACAAAACAAAAAAACCCCAATAACATCCCCCAACCAACCAACCAAACAAAAACCCCTGAACTCTATTAAGCAAAAAGATTTCAGAGAAAATCCATCTGAATTGGATTCCACACTTCTTATCCAACACCAAAAAAGTGTACAAGTTTCCAGGCTGGAGCAGAAAGGTTATATATAGCAGTGCAATTTAATTCACATGACAATTAAAAAATACATGAAATGGTCTTCTTTATGCATGAGAAAAGATTATCAGAGTTTTCCCCTTTTCCTCTTTTAGCTTATTAAAAATGTAACTCCTTCAAGAGTAATAAATTAACTCGGAAAGGATTACTTAACTGAGACACAGGTTGTGATTAAAGGAAGTTTGGAGTTCAGGAGAAGTCTGTGTTTGAAAAACGTCCTTGGTGTTTGGAGTATTGCGTATGGCTTTTGACAACTAATTTGGGAGAAAAGTGGTAGGGAATGAACCTCAACAGAAAAAGCTCTTGTTTTTTGTCACTTTGTGACATTACTGAAACACTGTTTCCCCTCATTTGTATTCTCCCTCCCAGCTCCCCCCCCCCCATAAGTTTGGTTTAAAATGTATCAAAACAGAAAAGACTTTGAAAAAGGAAGCAGACCTGTCATAAAGGACGACACTAGCTAGTCGGGAGGTTACACTTTATTATGTAAATCCATGTTTGGGGGTATTTCGAAATGCATATCGTGTGGTTAGAAGCAGCTAATTAGTTTGATAAACTGTACTGGTTTCAAATAAAGCGCACCAATCCGTAACGTAAATGCCAGGAGCGCGCCTTCTTGCAGATCTGTAACTTACCTGATTAACCATAACTGTCCCTCTCCTGTACCAGTCAGTCTCACTTGTTGGACCACTAACCACAAGGCTGCTGGTTTTTGCCAAATCCCACTGCTCAAATCCATCCCGTCTTGCTGCTCCTGGGAAAATGTTCCTGCAGCGCTTTCCTGTGGGTAATTCCCTAAAACTGAGCACCCAAAGCTTGAATTCAGATTGGAGTGGAAGGAAATAAAACTTCAGTCTGCGCATAAATCCTTCACTTACATATAAAGCCAGTGAAACGGTACAATTTTCTCTTCTTCTTCTGTAATTTACACATGGCTAAAATGATTTTCCTGGCAGAAACATCCATTTCTTAACTGCTTAGTGCCCACACTGGCAGCACCGGGGCTGCAGCAACGGCTCCGTAAGTGCCATCGCTCGCTCCAAGAGGAGCTGGATGAAGAACTTGTGACGCATAATTTATTTGGTGAATATAGGCCCCTTTTTGTGCTTACAAGAACTCTGGGGAAGGCGGGTGGGCTTGGTTGGGTGTTTTTTAATAGTTTGCTGAAATTCTTTAAGGACGTGCTGTGTGTTTGCATGCAGTCTCTGTACGTCAGTTGCTTGTTGAGAAAAGTGTTTTAACGTTGGCAGTTCAGGTGCGGGGGTATGCGTGGCCTGCCCAGACAGGGGCCATGCACCTCCTGGGCTCTGGCACAAGCAAAGGGCAAATGTGGGGAAAGCGCTTCCAATGAGTGCCGAGACACTTGTGTAACATCTACGGTTCAGCTGGCTCCAATTCGCCTAAATATGCCTGAAATCTGCAGCACCTTACGCGTCTGAAATGAAAAGCTAATAGCATGCGTGGGGGTGGTAGTCGTTAGAGACGCGCAAACGCTAGTGAAAAATGCCATGCTGACCGGGGCACCGGCTTCCCGCTCCAGCCTGCAGGGCCGGGCCAGGAGGGGGTGGGCCGCCAGCTCCCCTCCGCAAACTTCCCGGGGCACAAACTTTGCCGGCAGTTCCCCGCCCGCCCGCGGGGAGGGTGACAGGGCGCAGCGCGGCGGGGCGCGCCCTGCCCGCCACCGCCCTCTCCCCTTCGCTCCCCTCCCCTTCCCTCTGCGGCGCTCGGCGGCCCCGCCCCGCCGGCAGCCCCGCACCGGGCGGCCGCGGCCGCAGCGCCCCCGCCGCGGGAGGGGGGCGAAGGGGGCGG